AGAGCATTCCTGCTTAAAACTGGAACCAGACAAGGTTGCCCACTATTCCCACTTCTATTCAACATAGTGCTAGAAAAACTTGCCAGAGCAATCAGACAAGAGAAGGGAATTAAGTGTGTCCAAATGGGGGCAGAAGAGATCAAACTCTCACTCTTTGCTGATGATATACTATTATACCTAGAAAATCCCAAGGATTCAGTTAAGAGACTCCTAGAATTGATAAATGAATTCAGTAAAGTCTCAGGATACAAAGTTAATGAACACAAATCAGTGGCATTCATATACACCAATAACAGTCTAGCCGAAAATCTTTTTTCCAGAAGAGATTGTAACTTCTTTGGGAAATTCTACGTAGAAAATCATGCATGTGGACAGTTTTATTTCTTCCATTCCAACTTATATGCTTTTTATTTCTTGTTCTTGTTTCATTGTAGTGGCTATTATTTCCATACTATGTTGAATAAGAGTGATGAGAGTGGACATTTTTGTTCCTGATTGTGGGGAAAAGCCTTAGATATGATGTTAATCGCACATTTTTTGTAGATTATCTTTAATAAGTTGAGGTGATTCTTCTGTATTCCTAACTTTCTGAGATCTCTATCATAAATGGGTGTCAAGTGCTTTTTTTGAATTTCATATAATTTTTATTTTTTAGCCTGTAGATATGGTGAATTACACTGATTTATTTTCAAATGTTGAACTAGCTTTAAAATCTAGAATAACTCTCACTTGTTCATGGTATATAATTCACTTCATACATTGTTAGATTTAATATTTTGTTGATGCTTTTCGAGCCTAGGTTCATAAGCAATATTAGTCTATAGCTTTCTTTTTTTCTGTACTATCTTTACCTGACTTTGGTCTTTTTTTTTTTCCTGTAGTATCTTTGTCTACAAACTCCCTGTGGACTTTGTATATATGATGTCAGGGCCTCATAGAATACATTGAGAAGTGTTCTCTTTTCTATTTCCTGAAATACACTATGTACAATTGGTATTAATTCATCTTTAAACATTTGGTAGAATTCTCTAGTGAAACCATCTGGGCCTGGAGATTTCTTTTTGTAGAGCTTTTAAATTATGAATTTAATTTCTATAATAGTCATAGAAGTATTCAATTATGTATTTCATCTTGGTTGAGTTTGGTTTAATTACTTTTGATTGCTAATTTAGATGTCAGTATTTCTCATATTTACTAAACAAATGACTACAACAACATTTTCATAAAAGCAGTTAACTTCAGTCTGGTGACCTGATATCATACGTACAAAGTCCACAGGGAGTTTATAGGCAAATGGCTCTGCAACAACAAAGAGGTAGAACTCATTAGAATGTAAAAGAAAAAAATAATCAGGAAAGTCAGAGTGCATGTGAGAAGAGCATCTAGCAGGTAATGTTTGGGGTGATGTTGTGTCACTTAGTGGTAAGAAAGCTGTTACAGATGGCTTTATTGTGCACCATCAAAATGATCTTGAGTTTGATTTTCAATAGTTAAGCCTATTATAAGAATGTAGAAGTGATCAAATGGGTATTTGCCATTGTCCTTCAAATGAATGACTACAAGGAGGAACCAAGATGATAGACATTTTGCCTACTATTTTTGGAAGGCATTCATAGTGTTTAGCACATTTTAGCACACAACAATGAAACCAGTCAACCAGACAGATAGAACTTCAGAATTAGAGTTTGTCCTAGTTCAAGAGTGTGTGACACCAGATTAACAGTGCATATTCTTAATCCAATCCAAGAATAGCAAAAGTCAAATTCCATTATAAAGAATTACTTTATTATCTCAGTAACAGACAAACCCTTGTAAAACCCCTAGAAAACTAGCAGACTCAATGCCAGTTAAATCTCATTATCTCCACACCAAAGGACTACCCAATTCTTGAATTGTTCTGGAATTTTATTTTAAATAATATTGTATATCTTTGAGGTAATAGGCTATAGACATGGATATGGGAATCTTCTTTCTTAATGACATTTTTGTTTGAGTGGGATATGTTGTAGTGTAATTATAGTAAAAAAATATAAGAATAAGAACAACATCTTTCAGACCACTTTTGTGTATATGTGGTGTAGTTTGTTGAAAACATCTGTTTTGTAACTGAGGTCTCTTCTAACTTGAGTTGGTGAACTCATTCTCCAACAAGAGGACAAAGATACTAAAGAAGGAACAGCAGAAAAGATAGAAAGCTAGCAATAACTATAGAGACAAATTGGCCAACATCGAGAATTACTTTCAAATGCCAACCATACTGAGAAGGGTAGAGGACACAGAGTGAACCAAGGCATTGTCCTTGCTCTCAAGAGGCTTGCTCTTTTCTAGAAGGAGGACATCAGAAAATATCAAAATCACTTTTTATTCTTTTGTGAAGGAAAGAAAATTCACCCAATAAGTCATATCCTGTGAAAGTCAACAATCTTATAATTCTAGACAATGGAGGCTGAAAGGTTGTAAAATATTATTTAATCCACATTTTATAGACAGAGAAACCCAGAAAAATGAAATAATTTATCTAAGACTACAGGACTGTGATTGGAACCCAAATTTCCTGACTTCTTCTAATCAAATATTTTTTACTCTACATTATACTACCTCTCTTAGAATTCAGTGGACTCTTCCCATTCCTAGTTCTTCCCATAGTTAGGCTGCACCTAATTGCATCAATTAGATTCAGATGTCTAGACCTCATGCTCTTTTTTGTCTCCCTCTATACTCTTGTTTTCAAAAAGTCTACTCCATAGTTTCAATTCAACAGGTAATTTAAAAAATTATTGAGGACTTACTGCGGCTTAGGCAGTAGAGAGACTCCCAGTAAGGCATACTTCCTATCTCTGAGGAATTTATTGTAAATAGAAGCATCTAGTATAGTACTGTCAGACACCAAAGTTATATATGTAAAATTTATCATCATTACCCAATCAAGTTTTCTAATGGAAATCTCCTTTTTAGGTCAATGACTCCTTAGTTTTAGGCCCCAGTATAAAAATATTGAAGCTCTTTTTGCTACTTTGGCATGAAAATGATAGTATCTGTTTTTTAATCCTTGCTCTACAATTAACCAGTCAGTTTTAAAACTCTGGGCAAGTCATACCTCTCTGGGCTTAATCTCTTCGATCAGTAAAATGAGGAGAGCATTCTATGATTCACAATTTCTTTTCAAATTCAATAAAATCCAAGGTGCTAGGTAAAATCAATGTATGTTATTTCATTTTTTTGCATATTTGTTGAATTTATCTCTCCTCCTCCATGTTCATTCATCATAGCCAAGCCCTTCATTCCTGGATTACTATTAACAGCCTGCAAACTCTTAGGTGTAGATGTGGCTTGCTGGGATCAATCTCAAGCAAGATTTAGCCTGAAGATACACAGGGTAGATTGAGGCCAGAAAGCTAATAATTAATAAGAAACTTATTAAAATAAAGACCAATCTCACACAAAAAGCCTGTTTTTCAAGTCCCTCCAAAAACTGGCTTCAGTTGGCCTTTCTGCTTTTATTTTGAATGACTCCTTAAGTCCATTTCACTATAAAAAAAATGCTATAGACTGGATGTCTTATAAACAACAGAAATTTATTGCTCATAGTTCTGGAAGCTGGAAAGTCCAAGATCAGGTTGCTAGCATTGTTGGGTTCTGGTGAGGGGCCTCTTCCAGGTTGTAGACTGCCAACTTCTGGCTGTGTCCTCAACATGGTAGAAGAAATGTGAACAAAGTCTTTTGGGCCTCTTTTATAAGAACACTAATTCTACTATTCATGAGGGCTCCACCTCATGACCTAATCACCTCCCAAAAAGCCCCACTTCTTATTACCATCGTATTGGTGATTAAGCTTCAACATATGTGTTTTGGTGCTCACAAACGTTCAGACCATAGCACTCCTCAACATACTGCCTTTCCAACCATACCTTTATGCCTTTAATGTTGTTGTTCCTATCTTTCCTATATAAAGTCTTACCTTTCTTGTAAATTTTAATTCTAATAGTTCTTTTAAGGTCACTTCCTTCCATAGAGTCAGTAATCTTTCCTTTCTCTTAATTCTTACATAGACATTTAGATTTTAAGCAATAGTCCCCATTACTAAGTCCCTCTCATAAATACTGTAAGCATAAAAGAGATGATATGCAAAAGCTCTCAACCAATATTAATGAAAGAAGACATATAAGAGTGGTGTAAAGAGTATAACTTATTTTTCTTATTATTTCTTCTGAATTTATTTGCAAATTGAAATAATCAACTGGCTATTGATCTTGGGGTATATAATTAATATGTATTTCTAAATTATTTTAGAGTATAGGAAAAATATTACAAATATATTTTCTTAGCTGTAGGCTACTTCTGATATATGAAAATGTCTACACAAAAGTATATGAACTATTACCAATTAATATATGTCTAATTGAGGCAGACAAACAAGCATTAAGCAATGTTATATAGATGCTGGCAGGGTAACTTACTCAATTAAAGATAATCTCTGAAGAATATTTAAATTTCAGTCATGAAACAATCAGTGCCAATCTGATCAAATGATTGCCAATGTTAGCATTAATGATAGTAGGGAAGCATTTGGGGAAAACTTGAAATTTTATTTTATCTCTCTCAGGTTCTCTCATTGCTGCTTGAACTCTAATTAGAATAAATTCTCAGAAAAAGGCCACAATTAGAGGAGTAAAAGGATTTCATGTGGCAGGAGTAAAGTAGTACTGTCATATCCCATAAATCCTCCAAGCACCCACTCTCGGAGAACATTCACTGCACTTTTTTTGCCAACTCCAAAAAGAGACTTTTCCCAAGAAATGAGTTACAGGCAATTTTAGTTCCCATCACTACTGTCCATTTGTCATAACTGAAAAAAATATCCATTATATTATAAAAAGATTCTGTTATCCAATATTTGCTAATTATGATTGAGACCAGAAACATACACAGTTTCAAAGAAAACAATTGAAGGGAACATCTGAAAGTAATTTCCCTCCATTCTTTGTTGTTCTGCTACTCACGGCAAATCTTCCAAACTGGAGGCTTCATGTCTTGGATCCAATAGATCATAACCACATTCGTTGTAGATTTCCAAATAGGAAATGTGTGTTGTATATATTTTGCTGCTGTCCTGATTGGAAAAGGGAAAGATATTATTTAATGGCTGTAAATGATTCAGCTTAGAGGAAGATGAACACATTTATCACTGTAGTTTCCTTATAGTTTCTCTCCTTTTCTCTCTCACTTTATATGGTTTACATTTTCAGTTCGTGATACTTTCAAGTTGCCCGTTACCATATGCATGAAGCCTTTTTTCTAATGGCCAACACCCATGATTACAAGCAACTTCAGTCTGTTATTTTTTATTGGTTCCACATTATACATAAAAAGTCAATATATACTTACAATGAGCCAAATTGGTTGCAGAACTGTATAACACACTATTTTTTACTTTCCAGACTCCCCCCAAAAAAGGTTACTAAAAAAAATAAACTTACATTCTGTGAATAGTCTATTCATAAAGAACACAGATTACTATTTTAGTTTAAAAATTTTAGTAGCAAAATAGTTTCCATCTTTAATCATATATTTTTTTGCTTTTATAATATTCAAATTTTTCTGAAGACATAAATAGATAACAATGACAGTGAGTTCAAGAGGACAGGAAATAGTTTAGATCAGTCAGGTAAGAGTGGACATTAGTAGTTCACTGCCTGTACCTCACTCGTGGGTTAATTTTTCTGGCCCAAGGGGGGAAATCAGGGATATTTAGCTGTAGGTTAGAGAGAGATGTTTTCTGTGGGTCATTGCCGAAATATAATGACATAAGCATCAATCTAAGGAGGCTAAACATCAAAGTGACTGATCCTAATCTCAGTTCTGCCAATAGACAAGACAGACCCATTCCTTCTGAGGTGTAATAGAGAATTTTTTCAGCTCTTGAGAAAGTTCAATTTTCAATACAAAATATCCAATAATAGCACCTTCTTCTCATTCCTCCCAAAACGCAAATGCTTCCATTTCTGCAAATATTATCATGCTTCTCATAAGAGGAGAATATATTTATGTCCTGTGGCAAGAAGTTTGGCAGATTGGCAAAGTGGATACTAACAAGAGAAAATTTGCTTAGGATGACCTTCCTGATTGAGTCTCACCCATATCCAAGACAATCCATTTAGCAGGTGCTGTTCAAAGAGGGAGAGGACCAAGTCACAGCGACGGGGAAGACAACAGCAGCTTGAAACTCAAAAGCTGGGCTTCTCCAACCAGCTGTGAGCTCCTACCATGTCAGGCCTCGGTTTCCAAACTCATGAGTGTAAGGAAATTAGATAATGAATGTCTACATGTTCTTCAGTTTAGAATTAGTGACTCTTTGGTCTAATAAAATGGCTCAAATGATACAAATAAAGATACTACTATCTCATGAACAATAAAGGCAACTCTCAGTAAGCAGTGACTATAAGAAAAACCCGCAAGCTACAGCTGAGGCTTGTATTCTGGTGCTCTGTGAAGGTGAGTGACAAACTGGACTGCATTACTAAGCAAATTTCTCTCAACCAAATGCTACAAATTCTGCTGATGCTTATCCTAATCAATAGCCTCTCCTATTGATTACATTAGTGTCCTAGTCTTTCATTTCAACATAATTCTTTGGGTTGTAGCTTGGTTAACACAGGTATCAGAGATTGTAAACACTAGACAGACTCTAGTCTGGCTGTTAGTCTAATCCAGTGTTTCTAAAATATTCCATGAAATATAATGCTCCGGGGAGAAAGTGTTTCACAGTCAACATTCACACTCTTCCCCTCTGGAAGAGTCCCAGAGTATGTGAAAAGGCCCTGGGGGGGTCCTTCAGCAACATTCTTAGATGCTCTTTAAACCAATGTATTTCTAAAATTCACCTGAACATGTATGAAATATCCCAGAGATTATGGTTTGAAATTTTAGCACACAGTTCTGAACTCTTCTTAACATCAGACATACTGGATCTATTATTTAGAGCTAACTGACTGATCCCACACCTTTATCCTCAGTTATTTCACTATGAAAATGGGGGAAATAACCCTGATCTTGCATAGCTCTTGTGACAGAGAAATAAGGCTCTGTATTTAAAAGTTTACCAAAAATGTGTGGCCCAAAACAGGCATGAATGAGAATCATTGTTGCTGCTGTTGGTGTTATATTGCTATTGTTATTGTTTTTATTATTATTTCTGGAAGCCTTCAAATAGAGAATTCAGTATGTGAATATAAAAGGAAAGGGGGGAAAAAAGAAAAAGGGACATCCAAAAGAAAAGCAAAAAGGACATCCAACTTATATGTTTGTCTGCAGTGGAGAAATTCTCTTCTTCCAGAAATTAGAATAAATCATAAAAAGTCAGGAAAATGGCAGGTCTACTGCCCTGAGATGATAGCTATAATGCCTTTGGCTCATCCAGCTTCTACATTTTCTGGACTTTTGCTGGAATACACACTAAAAATTCACTGAGCTATGTGGCAAGCTACCTTTCCTTATTACTCCATTTTAGTGTTTAGGATTGCCAGATTCTAATGTAACACACATGTTTCCTGCAGACAGCTTTTTCTCCTGCCCCGAAACAAGTTTGGACTTCACAATACTCAAAAATAACGAGCAGGGATTTCTAAAATAAATGGAATCAATTTTATTCTCTTAAATTCAGTGAAATTGTGCTCCTATCATACTCATTGACATTTCAGGACCTAGCATGCACTAGGCTCTTACTTTATCTTGAAATAAAGACTTTGCATACGTCAAATGTTTCCTTTAAGAATTCTAGAGAGTTCCATGTGGCCTCTAAGGGGGGCCAATCAAGTGGGGACCTCTGAGTACCAGTCTGCACTTTTTCAGCTATACAATGTGAACAAACTTCATGATACGCTTCAAGTTGCCTGACTTACTGGATCACAGCTCAGTTTGATTATAATGAATGTGTTGTGGAAATTTGTCCATTTACAAACAGTTGCCTTAGCTATAAATGGGTCCATGGGGTTCTCTGCAAGTCCAGTAAGTTATTTAGGATTATTCAGAATGAAATGGAGTTTAGAGTAATATCAATGACAAACAAATCCAAAATAATGAATCTAACGAAGTATTTGGAAGACATTTAGACTCTTACAGCTGTACTTTAGTAACTATCAATGAACTTTTTAAAAGGACAAAATACGTTTTCCATTAGGAGAGGATTTTTAAAATCCTGTTTAACTTAATTAGAGGAATTGGCTTCATTTGTTCTAAGAGTTTCAAAGGATTCTCTAAAATTGGTCAGGGATAATTTGGCCACATGCATATACATGGATATTAATGGCTGTGGTAATAGCTATAATGTATTGAGCATATACTGTGTGTCAGGAACAGGATGACATCTTTAAATGTAGTATCTTCAGTCCCTCATGACAACCCTGTTAAGACTGAGACATTAAGTAAATGCCCCAAGACCACATGCTGTAAGTAGTACACTTTCTTAGAACCAGGTTGGTTTGCACCAACTCCAATGATCTTTCCAAAACAAGAGGCTTCCACATTAGGCCATGGCAATAAAAACTGTATTTCTAGTTTGTGAAATGTGGGAACAACAACAAAAAATAGGTAATGTCAGAAATAAATGAGTAAATGATTGTTGCTTCAATTCTGGTACTTGATATTGGTCTGTTCAGGAATTCTATTTCTCCCTGATTAAGCCTAGTGAGGCTGTGTGTTTCTAAGAATTTGACCATTTCCTCCACATTTTCAAGTTTATGTGCATAGACGTTTTTATAGTATTCCTAGATGATATTTTATATTTCCATGGCATCAGTTGTAATTTCTCCTTTTTCATTCCTGATTGAGCTTATTAGAGTCCGTTCTTTTCTACTTTTCATTAATCTAACAAGAGGCATGTCAATTTTATCTTTTGAAAGAAGCAACTTTTTGTTTTATTAATATTCCATACAGTTTTTTGCTATTGATTTCATTTAGTTCTGCTCTGATCTTTGTTATTTCTTTTCTTCTTCTGGGTTTGGGGTTGGCTTGCTCATCCTTTTCCAGTTCTTTGAGATGATTCATTAGATTGTTTATTTGTGATCTTTCTGTCTTTTGGATGTAGGCATTTATGGATATAAATTTTCCTCTCAGGACTACTTTAGCTGTGTCCCACAGATTTTGATAATTTGTGTCTACTTTATCACTCAGTTCAAAGAATCTTTTGATTTCCATCTTAATTTCCTCCTTAATGCAATAATTTTTCAGCAGAAGGTTGTTTAATTTTCATGACTTTGTATAGAGATGAGAGTTTCTGTTGTTGATTTCTAATTTTATTCCACTGTGGTCTGAGAGTATGCATGGTATAATTTCTATTTTTAAAAATTTGTTGAGACATCCTTTGTGGCCTAGGATATGGTCAATCTTAGAGAATGTACCATGAGCTGATGAGAAAACTGTATATTCAGTGGTTTTCTGGGTAGAATGTTTTGTAAATGTCAGGCCCATTTGTTCCAGAGTTCTGTTTAAGTCCATCGTTTCTTTGTTTATTTTCTGCTTGGAGGATCTGTCCTGTTCTCTCAGAGGGGTGTTGAAGTCCCCAGCTATTACAGTGTTGTTGTTTATCATTTTATTTAGATCAAGTAGGATTTGCTTTATGAATTTGGGTGTTCTTGAGTTAGGTGCATAAATATTTAGAATTGTGATGTCATATTGTTGAATTGTACCCTTCACCATTATATAGTGCCCATCTTTATCTTTCATTACTTTTATTGACTTGAAGACTAAGTTATCTGAAATCAGAACTGCTATGCCACCTTTCTTTTGTATGAATGTGTCCTTGTGGGTTAGATGTGTTTCCTGAAGACAGCAGATACTTGGCTTACGTATATTTCTCCATTTGGCCAGTCTATGTCTCTTTAGCGGGCAGTTCAAGACATTCACATTTATTTATTTATTTTTTTTTCTTTTTTTTTATTTTTGATCACTCGTGTTGAGGTTGAAATTCACATTTATTGAAAGAACTGATAAATGGGGCAGATTTCTGTTCATCCTGTTAAGTTGAATTTTGTTGCTCTGTTTTCTCTCCTGAGCCATTGTGGTATCTAGCCTTTGACCTTTAGCTTTTGGATGATTTTATACTGGTTAGTGTTTATTGTGCTGATCCATGTGTGACACTGTTCTGAGTACTTCTTGGGGGGCAGGTCTTGTCTTGATGAATTCCCTCAGTCTTTATTTGTATGAGAAGGTCATTATTTCTCCTTTGTATAAGAAACTTAGTTTGGCAGGGTACAAGATTCTGGGCTGGGCATTATTCTGTTTGAGAAGAGTTAGAATGAGGCCCCAGTCTCTTCTGGCTTATAAGGTCTCAGTTGAGAAGTCTGCAGTTAGTTTGATGTGTTTTCCTTTGTAGGTTACCTGCTTTCTTTGCCTTATAGCTTGTTGGAGGGCCTCTACATTTTTATTTTGGCCAGTCTGATGACTATGAGTCATGGTGTCTTCCTGTTTGCAATGAATCTCCCAGGAGTTCTTTGAGCTTCTTGTATACCTGGATATCTAGAAGTCCTGAACCAGATGGCTTTTCACACCTGAATTTTATCAGACCTACAAAGAAGAACTGGTGCCTATTCTGCAGAAATTATTCCACAACATCTAGAAATAAGGAATCTTCCCCAACATGTTTTATGAAACCAACATCACCCTGATACCAAAACCAGGAAAGGATGCAACAAAAATAGAAAACTACAGATCAATATCCCTTATGAATATACATGCAAAAACTCTCAAGAACATCCTAGCAAACTGAATTCAGGTGCTTATCAAAAAAATAATACATCATGACCAAGTGGGCTTCATCCCAGAAATGCAGGATAGTTCAACATACACAAGCCTATAAATGTAATTCACCACATAAATAGAAGCAAAAACAAAGACCATATGTGCTTCTCAATAGAAGCAGTAAAAGCATTTGACAAAATTCAGCACCCTTTTATGATAAGAATGCTTAACAAAATAGGCATAGAGGGGACTTACCAAAAAATGATAAAAGCCATACATGACAAACCCACAGCCAACATCATACTGAATGGGGAAAAATTGAAAGCATTTCCACTTAGAATTAGAATCAGATAAGGTTATTCTCTATCACCACTTCTACTCAACATAGTGCTGGAAGCCCTAGCCAGAGCAATTGGACAAGAGAAAGAAATCAAGGGCATTCAAATGGGGACAGAAGAGATCAAACTATAACTCTTTGGTGATGATATGATCTTATATCTAGAAAACCCCAAAGATCCTGCCATGAGACTACTGGAATTGATAAACAAATTCAGTGAAGTCTCAGATTATAAAAATCAACATACACAAATCAGTAGCATTCCTATACGCTAACAATAGTAAAACTGAGAACCAAATCAAAGACTCGATACCCTTCACAAGAGCAACAAAGAAAATAAAATGAATATATTTAATTAAGGAGGGAAAAGATGTCCACAGGGAGAACAAAGAAACACTGAGGAAGGAAATAGCAGAGAACGTAAACAGGTAGAACACTATATCATGCTCATGGGTCGGCAGAATCAACATTGTTAAAATGTCTGTATTACCCAAAGTGACCTACAGATTCAATGCAAACATTATTAAGATACCAACATCATTTTTTGCAGATCTAGAAAAAATAATTCTACGCTTTGTATGGAACCAGAGAAGACCCTGTATAGCAAAAGCAATCTTAAGCAAAAAGAACAAATTGGGAGGCATCAATTTACCACGTTTCAAGCTATGCTACAAGGTTATAGTAACTAAAACTATTATGGTACTGGCACAATAAAGAGACGTAGATGAATGGATCAGAATAGAGAACACAGATATAAACCATCCTCATACTGCCATCTGATCTTTGACAAAGCAAACAAAAACATGCACTGGAGAAAAGAATCCCTATTCAATAAATGATGCTGGAAAATTTGGATAGCCATATGTATAAGACTGAAACAGGATCTGCACCTTTCACCATGCACAAAAATCAACTCATGATGGATAACTGATTTAAACCTAAGACATTAAACTATAACACTTCTAGAAGAAAATGTTGGGAAAACTGTTACAGACATTGGCCTAGGCAAAGAATTTATGAAGAAGACCCCAAAGGCAATCATAGCAACAACAATAAAAAAAATAAGTGGTACCTGGTCACATTAAAAAGCTTCTGCACAGCCAAGGAAACTATCACGAGAGCAAACAGACAATCTACAGAATTGAAGAAAATATTTGCATATTATACATCCAATAAAGGGCTGATAACTAGACTCTGTATAGAACTCAGGAAAAATCAGCAAGAAAAAATCAAACAACCCTATCAAAAAGTGGGCAAAGGACATGAACAGAAACTTTTCAAAAGAAGAAAGACTAATGGCCAACAACATATGAAAAAATGTTCAACATCGCTGATCATCAGGGAAATGCAAACCAAAACCCAATGAGATATCACTTAACTCCAGTGAGAATGGCTTTTATCAAAAAGTCCCAAAACAATAAATGTTGGCCTGGATGTGGAGAGATAGGCACACTCCTACACTGCTGGTGGGACTGCAAACTAGTGCAACCTCTGTGGAAAGCAATATGGAGATACTTCAAAGAGCTACAAGTAGAACTACTATTTGATCCAGCAATCCCATTACTGGGCATCTATCTAAAGGAATAAAAGACATTCTATAAAAAAGACATCTATACCTGAATGTTTATAGTAGCACAATTCACAATTGCAAAGATGTGGAAACAACCCAAGTGGCCATCAATACATGAATGGATTAATAAAATGTGGTATATGTGTACCATGGAGTTCTGCTCAGCCATAAAAACAATGGTGATGTAGCACCTCTTGTATTATGCTGGTCAGAACTGGAGGCCATCCTACTAAGTGAAGTATCACAAGAATGGAAAAATAAGCACCACATGTGCTCACCATCAAATTGGTATTAACTGATCAACACTTATGGGCACATATAGTAGCAACATCTATCAGGTGTCAGGCAGGTGGGAGGGGAGGAGAGGATGGGTATATTCATACACATCTAGGGATGGACACACTTGAAGCTCTGACTCTAGTGGGGCAAGGGCATTAAATGTAACCTAAACATTTATACCCCTGTAATATCCTGAAATAAACAATAAAAAAATGAGTGAATAAAAAAGTGACTTTGGATTCAACACATATGCTATACTCAAGCCTTTCTCTTCTAAATTTTCTGGCATGAAAAGTTGGCATGTTTGAGCTGGTGAGAGATGAGCTGAACTAATGGATAATTGCTACTTTATGGATGGCAATTAGATTTATGCAGATCTCAGCAATTTATTCTCATCTTTGCAACACAAAATATAAACACCAAGTCAAGAAATTGTAGAGAAACTGTTACATTGACCTAGTTAAGACATTTGTTTTACAGACTTAATATAACCAAGGAATTGTTGGAACTAGTAGGGATACTGGAGACTCTTTGGTACAATTCAATCCCTACTTTCAGAGAAGGGAAACTGAAACCAAGGGAAGTTAACTGACTCATTATAGGGCATTTGTTTCATCACAACCAACAAAATAAAGCCAGTCTGAGGTACAGAGACTGTATATATATATATAATGGTAAAAAGCAGAGTTTGGCATCAGACAGACTTGGGATGGAACTCCAGATCAGCTAGCTACTTATAAGATATGGACCCAGAGAAAAATATTTAACCTGCCTCTCAGTTTTCCCAACTATAAAATGGCAATAAGGACACCTACCTACCCTTTTATTTACATTATATATTACATCAAAATCTGATAAAACAACTGGCATTCAGAGGTACTCAATAAATAATATATATACATATAACATAGATAAAGAACTCCTCTTCATAGTAATATTAGTTACAATTTATGGATTTGTACTTTGTTAAATTCCTCTGGGCTTTTATCAAAAGTGTGAAAAGGTAACAATCATACTATCCTCATCAGTGCTTTAGTAGCTAAAAGAAACTTTTGCTTTGGCAAAAAGACATTCCTCAGTTTCTTAATGAAGAATATAAGATAGCAGGTGGTAAAAAGTGTTATCTGCTCTTTGAACCTCCGTGGGGGTATCAGAAGGAACGATCCTTGAGTCTCTGTTGAAACTGCAGCCCTTTAATGAGAAGCACCTTCTTAATTTCCACTTCTCCAGCAAAACCCTAGCCTTTCTTTAAAGGTAAAGGCCAGAGCTATTACACAATAATACCTTCTCATTTAGATACAACATAATCAAATGTCATAATAAATTTTCTGCCCACAGTAAATTTTTGCTGAATATATCAAATACGAAATGGACTTGGTTTCATACCTTTTGTAACTGCTCAAAAATGTACGACAATGTCCTTGGGATAATGCCTCTGTCGCTGTAACGCTCGGCCCCACCTGTGATAGTGAATGTCTTACCACTGCCGGTTTGCCCATATGCAAAGATGGTACCATTGTAACCTGCCAGGACACTGCAATAAAGAAATGACACATTTTTAATAACAAAATGCCTGATTACATATGTATTAGACCCTGTATTCTAATAACTACCTTATTAAACACTATTGAAAAGATACTTATAGGAAATTTACGGGAATATCTATATATATGAAATTCATAGATAGAATTTAAATTTTTATCCAGGAATATCACCACATCAACCCTTTTCTCTAAGAAAAGACATGTAGTGGACTCGAATGGAGTCCAGTCATCTTAAATATTTTCTTCATCTTTAGTATATTAGAATTGAATCAAAGAATATGTTGAAAAAAAGTTTTGGGGAACAAAACACCTGTAATTTGGAAAATTGTCAACCTGACATGGTGAATACCTCACATGGTAAATACTCACACGGTAGTCATTCTCTAGAACACAGATACACACTCTGTTTGCAGCTATGTACCTTGTAATGCAGTCCCTACTTAATACTCAGAACCAGCTGAAAATCCTCCAGGGATTCCCCTCCTCTCTTTTCTTGGAAAGACTTTTTGTAGAAGATGCTCGTCCATATGTGTTCTTCAGCCCTGCACAACAGCCCTTGATTTGATGGTGGTCTTAAGAACTTAAAATCTTCTCAGCCTTTGTAGACCATCACCTGTTATGTAGGTTTTTAATAATTTGCGTGACATGATGCAGACATTCAGAAGTGGTTCTTTTATCTACACTACATGGAACAGTAAACTTTTGCAGCTTTACTTTTTTTCTGTTATAAGTGGCTCCTTGATTTCTGAGATGGTTTCATCAAACTAGCTATGATGATGTCAGCTAATGGTATCCACATTGTGAGTGTGTTTTTCAACAGATGGTCCCTCCGAGATTACCGCTCACTATTCACATTAGGATTCCTGCCCTACTACTTCTGCTGAGATCCTGTCTACAGTTCTATGTTTTGTATGCTTCCATGCCCACATGTTGAGTGATCAATCATTATGATGCCCCTTTAAAACACACAAAATTGGCTAGAGCTTATTCTGAAGTGGTCGGTTAAGTCCTTAGCACCTTACACAGCTATTATACTAACTACAATATCTTCAGCAACAAATCAATGCATCTTTTTCTATGTAGGTAGAAGTTGCTATTGGTGTTTATCAGCTTAAAGGAATTAGTACAGGTAGTGTGCAAAAAAGTACTAGTATTGTGTGATTCACCTTTCTACTTTTGAGAAGCTTAATCATTTTTCTTCATGTATCTTCACACGGAGACAATATATTATTGAAACGCTCAGCTTTTAAGATGTTGGAACTACCATGATGAATTTAGGTGGATGATCATAGAATGTTTTTCCTCAAGAGAATTTGTTACCAATGAAATTGCAATGTCCCAGTAGCAATATCATTTGGATATATGGCATTACCCAGCCATAAATGCTCTGGGTAAATGAGGTCTGTAACTTTAACTATCATACTTTAAACATTTTATTGATCTTTGATAGGAAACATTCTAAAATATATTAGACATTATCTGTCTTGAAAAGCAAAGAGTACAGAGCACAAATTAATATTTTTATTTTGATATGGATGTGGCCTACGCAAAGTGAATACTGTAGTACTGTGATCTCCAACCCCTGGGCTGCAGACTGTTAGGAACTGGACTGCAGAGCTCCGTCCTCCGCCACCTCTCTCCATGGAAAAATTGTCTTCCATGAAACTTAGGAACCCGGAGGCTACACAGTAGAGGTGAATAGCAGCAGGAGGTGAGCAGCAGGCAAGCAAGCAGAGCTTCATTTGTATTTACAGCTGCTCCCCATCTCTTGCTCTACCTCCCCATCCCTCCCCCACCCCTCCCCCACCCCATCTGTAGAAAAACTGTCTTCCATGAAACCGGTCCCTGGTGCCAAAAAGGTTGAGGACCGCTTCTGTAGCACACTACATTGGCACCCAATGACTGACTGTTATGTCTTCTTTTTTATACTTAAATCTTTCCCACTGCCAGTTGTCCTATATATCTACCTCTAAAATGTGCTCCCCCTACCCCCATCTGCTGTGGGATGGAAAACCAAATGGCATAGCGTCATAGAACTCTGTATAAAATAAAAAGAATACAGGCCCCATCTATGTATACTCCCATGGATATTTATTTATTACACTGCCACAATTAAAAATTTAAGTAAAGAAATGTAAACAGGCAAAATTTATTTCCAGTTCCTTCTGTAGAGCCCCTATTCCAACTCCACCTTGTGCATACTCTTTATTGGGCACGAGGCCTTTTCATATGCTTCTAGTCTCATCTGTCCTGAGGGATAATACTAATTAAAAATAAACAAAGAGAAATAGTGGTGTAAGGATCTTTGAAAATCCATTCCTCCACAAGAACAATGATATCGGTGGCAAAAAAATTGTCAAAAATCAACCTTTTCAGAACTCTGGAAAGTATCCAAAGGCTTACAACAATCCAAGGAGTGTTTATTCAAGAAAAATAGCTGAAACTCAGTAGGAACGGTGAGCTTTGTGGGATTTTTAACTTGAACATCTCAGCCCCCGTCCCCAGCTCCATGGTAGCCTTGAAAAACAGTAGCCTTGAAACACAGGAGCTGTGGAAACCAGCAGCCTAGCAACCATTGAAGGGACCAGTACGGATTTGGAGCTCTTCAAAAAGCCCCATGTTCAAAGACTTGTCACTCTCTGACCTGACTGGCAGCTCCCTGGAAAAGCCCCACTGATAGTACGTGTCTATGTTTGTCCTGACTCAGAGCTCACTCAGCTAGAGCAGACCTTTTGATACGGAAAATGTCGGGCACCAGGACCCGGCCGCTTGACGCCTCCCCGTCACTCCACATCTCCGCGGGCCAGTGCTCTGCGAGGCCAGTTGGAGGCACGCTGTTGGGGCAGAGAGCCCACCGGGGCCCAGGTGCTGGAGCACAGCTGGCCCATGTGCTGCCGCCTAGATTACGGCCATGCTGCTTGCGTGATCCTGATTGGGTAATTTTTGAATCCCACTGTTTTTGATTGGATGTTAAAGCTTGATGTTGATTGGATGTTAAAGCTTGTAGTTGATTGGATGCTTTTTGAGCCCTACCAAGGGTATAAAAGCAGGAGGAGAACAAGGGAGGGGCGGGGGGCAGAAGGGTCAGAAGACAGAAAACAGAAAGAGAGCTGTAACATTAGGTGTGCTGAGCCTGTTGGGTTGGACTAAAGGCTGTTCTCCGACTCTTCGTGTGCCGCTCCGTTCTTTCCCCGGTTGAGAGCTGTAACACTAGCTGTACACACTGCCGCAACACTTTCCCCATGGTGTTTATGGAAAACAATCAGTGGCAAGTGTTTAACATCACAGCTGTCCAAGGCTGCAATACCAGTGAGGTAAACAAGAGGTGCCCAAAAACTTAAGAAGGAAAATCTGTGGAATAAGATGTCTATAAGAAGCCTTGTGGAGCTCTGACATATTCCTGGGCCTCTGGAAGGCCACGTGTGCAAGGCTGTGTGCATACCCAGAAAAGACTTGAGAAGGGCATTCTATCTCACCTCTGGCCTTGAGACTCTGCACAAACAGAAAGTGAGAAGACAGAGTTACAAACTTTCAATGGTTACAGATTTTCAAAGCATTTCAGCTATGCCTCTACACACATGCAGGGCCCTTTGTGTGGGGGCCTGGAAACTGATGGGTTAAAGACACTTAAGAAAATCTCTGTCCAATAATTAGCTGACCACAAAGCTAACTGAGCAGAGATTTCAGAGGCTGCACATGACAAAGATACAGACTTCACAGAATTAGTCCAAAAAAATTACTAAATAAACAAGCAGCAACAGCAACTACAATAACAACAACAACAAACTGAGAGAATAGTCTTTTTAATAAATGATGCTTGAACAACTGGATAGTCACTTATAAAAGAATGGAACTGAACCCCTACCTCATACCATATATAAAAAAATAACTCAAAATAAATCATGGACCTAATATAAGAGATAAAACTAAAAAAAGTCTTAGGAGTAAATCTTTGTGAGCTTAGATTAGGCAACAGTTTCTTAAGTATGACATCAAAAACACAAATAACCAAAGACAAAAAAAAATAAACTGGATTTCATTAAAATAAAAAACTTTTTTTGTTTCAAAGGACACAATCGAGAAAGTGAGAAGACAACCCATAGAATTGAGATAATGTTTGTATTAACAAATCATCTATCTGGCAAGGGACTTATCATCATATCCATAACATATAAATAACTCTTATAACTGAATAATAAAAAGACAACCCAATTAAAAGGTAGGCAAAGGATTTGAACAGACATTTCTCTAAAATGACAAACAAAGGGCCAATAGCCCTTGAAAAGATATTAACCTTCATTAGCCATTAGGGAAATGCAAATCAAACCCATAATGAGATACCACTTCATACTCACCAGTATGGTTAAACTAAAAGACAGATAATAAGAAGCATTAGTAAAAATAATAAAAAAAGAAGTGTCGGTGGAAGATGTGGACAATTTGGAACCCTCATACATTGCTGCTAGAAATGTAAAATGGTGTGGTTTCTCTGAAAAACAGTTTTGTAGCTCCTTAAAATACAAATGTAGCGTTACCATATGACCCAGCCAGATATATGCCCGGCAGTATTAAAAAATGCCCACAAGAAAATTTATAATAAATGTTCACAGCAGCATTGTTCATAATGGCCAAGGAGTGGAAACAACCAAATGACCACCAACTGATGAGCAGATAAACAAAATGTGCCATGTCCATTCCATGGGATATTTGGCAATGAAAATAGAGTATTGATACATGCTAAATGTGGATAAAACTTGAAAACATTATGTTAAAGGAAAGAAGCCAATCACAAAAGGCCATATATTGTGCTTCCATTTATAGAAAATGTGTAGAGTAAGCAAATCCCATAGAGAAATGATGATTAGTGGCTGGCAGGGGCGGGGAGAAAGGGGAAATAAGGAGCGATGGCTAATGGGTATGATATAGGGCTTCTTTCTGGGGTAATGAAAATGTTCCAGGATTAAATACTAGTGATTGCTAGTAGCACATT